TAGTTGGTCAAGAAAGGCACCATAAACAAACAGAATTTTGGGGCTGGAGATCAATTGTAGGAATAAGGGGGGGGGGGGGGTGGCATGAGGAGTCAGAATGGAGCAACAGTATCACTGCTACCATCACAAGTATACCATGAGGACATAACTGCGCATTAGCCAGCATCTTGCGACTTAGTCAGCACTGCCTGCAACCTCGTACACGATACGGAGGGCTGAGTCATCTTCACGGAAGACCGCAATCACAACAAGGAACGGCGTACAATGCGACAAAACATAAAAGGCACCACCCAACAACACCTATCACAGTTGCTTGTGCACCTAAATTAGTCAGTTCGGTTCGGGTTATAAAGTGGCGATGGTCAGACGGTGTTGCCATTCGAAAGTGAAAACCGCGTTTTAAAAGTAGGGCCAGTGGGGCAACAAAACGGACAATGAAGCTTTTGATGCCTTGCGAATACCACTTTTACCAGCGGCGCTTCAGAGCTCAGCATCATAAATGCGTAGTATCTATTGTCATAAACTGTTCATCCCTTTAATGACAACTGGTGGAGTCAAATGGAGTGACTGAGTTCAAAATGGAGGTGGAGAGATCTTGATGTGTGGAAGGCGATTGCATACTTGGATCTCTGAGCAGCAGTTCATTTAGCTAGTTCAGTAGCCCAAGTGTTGGTGTTATACGTGAGGAACAAAACACCTCAACTGTGGCATTCCGTGGTCCTCTAAAAGCAGCAGTGAATGCGTTAAATCCCAGTGGCCAAAGGAAAGAGCATGAGACAGAGTGGGCTGACAGCTTCAACTAAGGAAAGGGTGTGTTATATCCAGCGACAAGGGGTCAAACGTGGTATAAAACAGCTGACTTGGATGGATAAATGGGAGAGTGAATGGCTTGATAAACGGTGAGAAATGAAAATGCTACTGTCTGGTTCACGAAGGTCGAAATAAATTTATGAAAATAGCTAGAAAAGTCCATGAAAATGTGGAGAAAAATGGAAAGTCTACCTTAAAATTACTAAGGAAAATAAACAAGGATAGGATGGCATACAAGAAAGCAGAAATAAACTCACGAGAGGGGTTAAATATGACCGAGAACGTGAGCGTCCGAGTTGTGGTGGTTCCAGGCGGTTGTCGATTGGAGCTCAGTACCAGAGATGCCAACAAAGATGCCAGCTGAGCCAGCGAGAGCCCCTCCACACTCATCTGTTGCAGCGCCAGCAATTGATCGGCCCGTCGCAACGCTGGTCGAACCTCGTAGCCCTCTCCACCCCCTCCGTGGGTAGCACCGCCGACTTCCTCTGCTTGGTTTACAAAAATGCCAAACTCACCCTGCCCGCCAACTAGCACACAGGGTAGTATGATGTGGCAGGCGGCGCCAGGGGCCACTATCAGGGTCAATGTCACTGAGACGGTGCGAGGGCGTGCGCGGGTGGAGCAGGCAAGGTGGAGGAGGCGTCGGTTGCCACTGTCACGTTGAAGGAGATCGCTGAATGTCTCCAGGAAGTGCAGCATCGCCGGCCGGTCGTAGAAATCAGCGGGGTGGTTGTGCACCCACAGCACCACGTAGCGTTGAATGCGTGAGCGTAAAATGCGGTCCGCCGGTAGCGCCTCCTCCCACCACGTTAACAGGCGACGCACCAGCAGCGCAGGTGTTGGCAGAAAGGTGCGGTAGGTAAGGAGTAGGTCCTCCGGATAGCTCGGATCGCTTGATTCCGGTGATTTCAAGTGGTCAATGAGTTTCTCCGGTGTGCCCTGTTTGAAGGGTTTCAAAAGCTAGGGTCATATTTCTCATCTGTACGTTTATGTGAGACGCCGGTGGTGAACGTATTAGCAAAAAATCGTGGATGGTCCAGTAAGAATTGATAAACAATGCAAAGGCTATACGAGCTACTGTATCGCCTAGATTTGAAATCACCAACGTTTGCAACAACTTAACAAAGGAAAAACTTCACGTGAACACCAGAGTAGAGTAAAAATAGATCCACCAGAGCCTGATAAATCTACATTGACTTCAAAGATGTCATTGAGAAGCAGCTAATGAAAGCATCTCACCTTAATGACGACGCGTGAGACTATCGCAGAAGAGGGAGAGGAGGGAGCAAGGGGCGGGACGTCGGCATCAGTGGAGGCGGGAGCGGCGTCCTTTCGAATGTCTTCGTAGACGAGGACCACTCGGCCCCCGTCCTCCTCCACCTCCGGCACCTCAGCGTCAGCGGCCTGCGCCATGATGCGGAAGTAGTCAGCCTGGGCAACGCATACAAACTGGCAGTCTTCTGTCACCGTGCGCATTTGCCCTCGATGGCGTTGCACCACCAGTGTGCCTCCACTCATCGCCCCGTCTGCATTCGGTGACGGTGGTAGGCGGACTCCGAAAGCATCACCACTGGTCAGCTCACGAATCGTTCCGTCTGGATCCACAACCTGCAGAAGGTGAATACAATGGAAGAAAGGATTCGACTTCAGACGGATTGGGTTTCGTAAAATTCAAGACATCCAAATGGTAGCATCAAGCTTAAATCTGGTTCTCAATACACGGTATTCAACAACTCGGAAATTCAAGGAACGATAGCATCTCTATTGAAAGAGCGAGAAGACTCACCTCCACAGTGCCGTTGAGGATGACGGACCAGGTATCAAGGATCTCACCGTCGGAGAGGACCACTTGACTGGCCTCGCGCACCACGGCCACCAGCATGAGGCGACAGAGCGCGGTCCGCGTACCCTCCGAGAGGTTTGAGAAGGCCTTTTCAAGAGGAAAAGCATAGCAATCAACGCTCGGACCGGCTAAATATGCATGTTCTTCTAACATATCCTACCAATTTTTGCTCTAAAGAGCACCAAAATCCCCATCACAAGTAGCAGCACCCCACTAAGACTGGTAAAATTTTACCATACCCGGGTCCCAGCGCTGTTGCATTCTGATGCGCTACAGATCTTTAATGCCTCGTGTGACTCTCCGTTCACATATTTTCAAAGGCAGTTCAACAATCCAGTTCATCAGTACTTTGCCTTCTTCCATCCATTCTAAGCTACAGTGGGTAGTCTGAGGATTCACTTGGCTGATGAAAAGGTAACTTCAGAAGTAAATGGGAGGTGGTTATACGGTAGCTTCTTCCATTATTCCAAGACAAATGAACAGACACAATTAGTAGACGAGGATACTACTGGAAAACTAATGTGACTTCAATTTCAATGCTGAGGGAATGATTTTACATACCGGTAACTTCTGAACGTTTTCCACAAGTACTTCCACATCCGCAGTTGTCCTCAGACGTGGCTCTTTCAACAGAGCATCCCAGAAGCTGTCACGTAGGGACTAAAGTAAGAGCGTCGATAAGAGGGAGAGCCAAAAGTAACACTTTTTCAGCGGGGCAATTCTTTTCAAACATCTACGTACCTCATGACTGCTACTTCCTGAGTCAAATTCGTCGTCCTCATCCTCCTCTTCCTCGTCATCCTCATCTTCCTCATTGTCAACATCGCTACCACCACCGTCGTCATCCTCCGCACCATCACCACCACCACCATCGAGATCAGAGTCCGAGTCTACACCAACAGCGCAATGGAGACTGGTGTTGCTGCTGTTCGAAGTTGTTGTCATGGTGCGTGCAATCGCCGAGTCGCTCTCTGACAGCGAGGACTGCCGCTCTGGAGTATGTTGCTGCTGCTGCTTCTGTGGCGATTTCTTCGCTCCTGATGCTTCACCAACAGGAGGCTGTAGAAAGAATCACACTTTAAAGGATGAATTATTTGACCTTTGATGTAGTCCATGTCTAATTCTAGTTTATGTGAAACTGTCCGTGGAGAAACAATAGAGACGATGAGACAGAAGTCATCCATGAAAAAAAAAACATTAAACGCCTCATCCCCCGTGTTTCGAAGGGTTTGTGTTGCCGTACTGTTTTTATCATTCCTCTTGTTGACCTCAGCGATTAAAAAAGGTGTAAGGAGAGAATGTTAGAGGAGAAAGGGTTTTTACTGACAAACAGCCACGCCGAGTAAAGTACCTTTTAAGTCTGTGAGAATAACTGTAGCAGCAGCTGCTCCCGCTAATGGCGCGAGTGTAAAAAACTTGCTAGCAATAAAAAGTGGGCTGCATTGATTACGGCTAGAGGAGGTGGCGATTATTTCAGTGACAGCTGCAGTGCTGTTAGATAGGATGTAGCAAATTTTAACGGCTACAGCAGCTACCTCGATGTCTGCGGTGTGCAAATAATGATGTCAACTCGAAATTGATGTCAGCAATACTTCAAATACATCTGAACCAGTTCATGTACTCATATATAAGATGGTGAAGCACGCAATTGTGTCGCACGATCTGATGCCTATTTGTGGATGAGTGGAATAATCGATTGTGGAATTGATAGCTACGGTTCCAGAGGCATCCACTTCGATCCTTCCAGTGACGCTAATGGGCAGATGTTAGTGGAATTAGCCAGCATCGCCGCAGACACAAGGACATCACAGTTTGTAGCCTTACTAACCAATGATACCTTTGTCCAGGTAAAAGGTGTTAAGATAATGGCGGTGTGCTTCATGTTTACGGCAAGAGATGTTGTATTCCCAATAGCTGAAGCACTTTGATCAATTGGAAAATAAACGTATCATTCGGTATCATCGGCCCTACCACTCAGAAATTGACAAACACACCTATCCTCCCTCTTCGTCTTCTCCTCCACCTCCGTTTTAAGAGCTGAAAGTGGCACTTCCTTTCCATCCATTCCGGTTGTGCCAATTACTCTTCCATATTTCAGTCGTGTCGCGAGCTTACCCAAAATTTCAGGTCCTCAGCATGAACATACAACGCTTTCTCGCATCTTGTGCAAGATACAACCTCATTTTCATCATGGATAACAAGCACCAATATGGCTGACCCATAAGATGCTAATGCTGGATTTCTGGATCCGTACGATTTTTTAATTATAACCTTTCCGTCGTGGTAACAGAGACCACATCGTTTGGGATGGCCCTTGTTGAAAATGAGAACCCAGTATGCAGATGAGTACGATACTAACGCTGAGGGTGGCGACGACTAAGGGAGTGGTTCAGTTGTGGCATTAATAATCACTTTAATAACGACAGTTGACGTCATTGGGAGAGAGGCTGAGAGTGAGAACCAAGGCCAGAGTTATTGCGAGAGCGAGGGGTGAATAAGACCTACCAGAACGCCCTTCTTATTCGATGCAGGCTGGAGTTGAGTCCGTGGCGAGGCTGCGACTAGCGGCGGGGGATCCCGATCCACGTAGGCGATCTACCAAACGACAACGGGCTCAGTTAAAGCGACAGTCACAAGAAAATCCCAATTAAAACAAAGTAATATAAACAATACCAAACTAGGGCGTCAGCCATTATTCAGGAATGGTGACGAAGCGGATGATTGCAAATGCACCACCTTGGCGCCAGTGAAGTAAATGCGTGCTGTATGACAGTAGTTTTTTTCACTCCACCTCCTCATTCTCGCTCCAGTGATTATTGCCCCCCACCTCCCAATCTCAATTCCCGACCCGGTCAAGGTGGCATTTACAACAAATGGCAGTGATGGAAGGCGTGTATGCTCACGAGACATGAATTGACAACGACCCTTCATAGCATGGCGTCAACAGATGGCATTCAAATGTGTGCATCTCCTAGAGAGAGAGGGAGGGACCGCAATGAACTTGGAAGCATTTTAATCCACACCAATCCAAGGTATCACTTGGATCTGGCAAAGTAGTGATCCGGGTCCACCCGTTCACTCAGATTAGCGCGATCTGCAACCCGTACGACACCAACTTGTGTTTATTTTTTGCGTGATTGCAATGCATTATCTCGTGTCATCTTTGATTATAAGAATAAAGAAAAGGAATTTCTACCCTGTTCTGGAATTGTAAAGCACATTCTCAAACAGATTTTTATCACCTAACATTTAACTGATGCAGCTTGGAGTCAGCCATGGGGGACAAATAGCCAATTCCAGATCGAGAATGTTACCGCCACCCTCTCCTATATCTTTTACGATCCACGAGTGAAGGATTAGTCGCATTTTGAATGACAGTGGATCCTAGCTCTCTTGATTTGCCCCTTTTGGATTAGTTTCTGGAATATCGTTGAAAGATCAGCCGATAATCGTGAGCACAGTAACTACGGCACGAACATAGACCACGTAAAAGCGAATGACGGTTATTTTCAACGGAGAAAAAACGAAATGGGGATACTAAATTAAACTATGATAAATTGGCATCATTTTTTTGAAAATTCAACAGAATGGTGAACTGCACTGATTCAAAATTTAAATTAGGTATGTTAAAATCAAACTGGACCGTGGTGGTGGTTACCACCAAAACTGGCCGTGAAAGGTAAATCTGCCTGTGGGGCCGGTGAACACATCATCACTCTCATCATTTGCAATTCAAAGCGATTAGCACATCCATGACGCTCAAACAACCTTCCACACCGATGATGAGGCGAAGGAGGCTGTCAAGGGACAGGATGGTTCCAGCTGTACCGACAAATCTTACTAATGCCGAAGGCAGAAATCACTTTACGTGCGTAACTCATACGCTGGGAGGTAATTGTGTGGATAAACGACTTGACTCATAATTCCCCCCCCCCCCTAAACATTCAAAAAGGGGCGAAAAAAAGCTTTTAAAGCAAAACAATTCGAGCAGGAATGGGCAAAGACATGAAGAGTTATTGTTAGTCCTTTACTTTGCTAACGTACCGCAACAAGATCGGAGTCCTCCAATACGAAACAATCCTGATGACGCACTTGGCTGCCGTTCAGTCGAGTACCGAAACTGAAACAGGAACAGGGAAATGGCCAGATAGAGGACAAGTTTAGCTGACAAATTAAATAGTAATTGCTCGACAGCAATTTCTGGTACTCCACTTTCTCCACCCAAGGAAATAGCAACTAATTTAACCATCTTGGCATGCACATGAAGCGTCTATTGACTTACAAAGAGAAAAATGACAAAGCATTGAGTAGGAAACGTCAAATAAGAAGTGTATTACCAATGATATTTCAAAAATGTGTCGGTATTTAAATTCGACCTTTTGATTAACTCTCCGGTCTGCCAAAGACTTGTCTCAGAGGAAATTTGACTCCCTCAGCTTGGCGGACGCCTTACCGTCCTCGTAGTGGCATCAAAATTTGTACCACTAAAATGGTCAATTCGGTGGCTACTGTTTCTCAAGAATAAAAAGGAGTGTGCATGTGACGCCTGTAGCGAATTGATCAGACCAAATACGAGCAAAAAAATTCACCGATTGTTAATTATTCGTGAATGAGAAGTCAACCATGCAGGTAACTGGGAGACACTGAACTTCAATGAGATGACTCTGACTACTTGATGGATTTCATTCTGGTGGGTGCTTTTCAACTTGAAAGCACATATGCAATACCTTAGTTGACTGTTTAACGCTCGGTCACTTAGTTGATCTCTCATTGTACCTTCACCAAGTGTCCTGGCCTTCAGGCCGTGCTAGTAGCCCCAAGTCCTTCTGGGGGTCGACAGTATGTATCATGTCCAAGTATTACGTCTTCTCTCGCCATCAGGGACGTCTCGGTGCGCTATATTGGTGGCAGCGGAAAGCAAACCCGATCTCAAGGGACATCTACCCAGATTTCCACCACTGGATAATAATCCTTAACGGGGTGAAAGATGTGTATATGCTGCAAATGGGAGGATCAGTGACGATTCCCATCAGAGGGGCTGAAAATGACAGCTGCATTGGGAAACTACCTTAGTCTCGTGGTCTGCAGGAAAGCTAATAACAGCTAGAGCGGCACTAGCTTACAAGGATGTCGACAATGTGAACCCGCGATACCTCCTCCACTTCTCTACTGGCTGGACAGAACCCGGATAGATACGTGGTTGGGTAGCACTAAAGTGAGAACAAAGCGGCGAGGAGGAATAGATGCAAAACCCTTCCCCTCGTAAAGAGGTGTTAAACCACGTCCTTTGTCACAGGACTTTGCTTTTAGGCCAGAGTTCCTGTAACTACCAAAAGACACGCCTGATGGCCAGCACATTCCCCCACCCACCAATACAGTTCCCATACAGGACGAAACTTTAAATCCAGTGGGATTGCTAAAGGGGATCAGTGACATTGCGGTCAAACACCTCCTCTGTTGCATGGAAATTTGATGACCGCCATGTTTGGCTCGCGGGTGTTTCCCTTAGAGTGCTGACTACCTTGTGATGGCTGACGCAGGAGGTTAACCAAGGGAAGCGCCGGGGAAAGACACTCAAAAGAGGAGAAGAGCAATGAAATATGTAGGTTATTAACTCTCCGTTTTGGTAGACAATTTGATGCTCCACCATTATACCTTTGCCAAGTGGCATAGCCTTCAGGCCATGCCAGCAGGTCCAAGCCTTACTGTACATCAAGAATGCATGATATGCTCAAGTATTGTCTTCTCGTCCTGAGGGAAGTCTGGGGGCGCTACACAAATATAGGAGTCATAATACCTGTGAAATAACAAGATAACCTTGTTTTACAAGGGTTACAATTCCGACACTTTATGGCTAGATACTATTAGAAGCTAGTGGGAAATCAGCCAACTTAACGGGTGAGGGAGGTTGGACCAAATTCTAAATAGCCCAAGCCGAGGACGGAACCAGTGATGGATAAATAGCTAATAGTGCCTAGTCAGCAGAACTATTAAAGCGCCTTAACCAATTACAGTGATTGGATGTCCATGGTGAATAAAAATAAAGAAGCAGGTTTACCAAGTACCACCATGAAAAACTTTGAGATTATGATAAAACGAAACCTCCACTACAATGGAAAAGGATTAGCAGATTTGCAGACAACGCTAGCAAGTAATTTTGGAGTTGATGAAAAATGCCATAATGAAAGGCTTAACAGCAGATCAGGGAAAAAGATAACACGCCTTACACATCATTAGCACGTTCATTACCCATGTCTCGTGGATAATTGTTGATTTTAAAACGAGGAAATAAATGTGGAACATTCTCACTGCAGGAGGAATTGTACTTTTTTAGATATGAGCTACAGAACTATAACTGGATTGGTTTTCGCAAGCTGTGGTAGCTTACGTTACCCTGAGGCTCCCAGCCAAAGTGCGAAACATACTCTTTTGCTGAAACTCGAACGGAGGGTTTCAAGCAAAAAAATTGTGTGGATCCAGAAATCCAACATTAGCGTCTTGTGCGTCAGTCCTATTCGTGCTTGTTATTCATAATGGAAAAGAGGCTGTATTCTGCAAATGCTGCATGTTCATGTTGAGGACCTGAAATTTTGGCTTGAGTTGGCGATACGACTGAGATATGGAAAAGTGGCATCCGCTGATGTAAATTAAACCGGAATGGATGGGAAGGAGGTGACTCGGGCACCGTTGCCGTTTTCAACTGTCAAAACAGAGGCGGAGAAGACGAAGAAAAAAAGTGTGTTCGTCAATTTTTGCGTAACAGAATCGTCAATAAATGGCGACTCTTGAGTTGAATGCGTGGGGATTAATGACTGGCTTAATTGGTCTAAAGAGGTTTATAGCTACTAAAAACAGCCTCTGCTGCCGTAAACATGAAAGAAATCGGCATTATCATTGCGTCTGCCGAGATGCTGACTAATTTTACCTACATTTGCACATTAGTGCTACTGAAAGTACCGATGTGGATGTCTCTGGTATCGTAAATACCGAGTGCACAACTGCTTATTCCATTCATCCACAAATAGGCATCAAATCGTGGGACACAAATGGGTGATTTGCTAATGCCTGAACGGAATCAGAGGGTGGCCAATCAGTATTATTAAAGGGCTCTTGCAGTAAATGTCACCGGTGTCATCAGTACAGTCGTCGCTGGCACCAAGATCAATGCCATTGGTTACCAACTCCACCAACACCTCGACTACAGACAACCCACCTTCCAACGAAATAGGTGGTAATATTATGGCAAAAGCAGCCTCCACCAAACAATATTTTGACATGCCTCAAAAACTCGTCGCTATTAACCGTCGTCTTCATTGAGCACACCATTGCTGATCTCCAGCACAGACGCCAAAACTTCAAGAGTTGCCGCCAGTTAGCTATTGATGAACAGAAGGAAGCTGGATGAATTCATAAAAAGGGCCTAGCTAGAGAAGAACAGGAAGCCTACCTCCCTCTCCACGTTTATCATTGGCCCATAAACAATTAGCATCACCAGTTTCACAAACAACGACATTGGCGTCAAAATTAAACTTATTACTTCAGGCTCCACCAACACAACTCCCATTTTTAAGCACAGAAGCCAAAACCTGAGGCGAGAACGTGACCGGAGAATTGATGGATGGAGAAAAAAGGACATTCGACTAGGAGGCAAGATGTTTACAAGTGCCGCAAATGCATCAATCACCAAAGTCTATCCACATAACTAACAGTCAACTCTAACTATCACAAGTGTCTCAGAAGGTATCAACACGACATCAGGCACAAGTGTTTTCATTAATCCGACAGACAGTTCGGCGATCGCATTACTACGATCAAAAATTCAGCCACAGAGACTTCATAATAACGCCATATTGCAGCAGCCAAAGGCGGAATGATTTATTCAAAGAGGAGAAATTCCCAAACGTCACCAGAACTACCACCAATAGATCAAGACAGGCTGAACATGAAAAAAAGGCCCAACCCATTTTTGCGAAGAAACACGAAGTGGTTGATGAAAGCACATTTATGAGGGTGAAAAGTAGACACGACTATCCTCGCGGGCATTACAACCACCAGTGGCACAAAAAAAACACCGACACAAATGCTACCAGCATCGAAACGCCTTTTTTACCAACATTCCAAGGAGAGATGTTAAGGTCAGACCCGACTGTGGTGGTTACCAGCACAAACTTTTGTGTGACGAAACTGTGTTGGGAGACAAATTTCCCCATGGGACTGGTGAACACAAAATCACTCTCAACATTTGCAATACGGAGAGGCTAGCGCATTAGCGAAGCTGGTTGTCTGGGGACAAGATAGATCAGCCGTACGGACAAATCGTACTGATTCCGAAAGTAGAAACCACTTTTGTGTAATAGGGAAATACTAGAAGTGTGCAAATACGGGAGCAGGAAAAGGATAACGATAAATAAATGCCTTTTCCTTTTTCTAATAAACTTAAAACACCCAATTTGGCTCAGAATAGTAAACCACTGACTTGGACCCAGAAGAAGAAAGGGGAGAAATACCAGACTCACCAACTGCGCGGTAGGAACATGGAGTGGTCGATGAGGACGCATCCGGAGAGGAGAATGAACCAAGCGGAGGCGGGGTCGCCTCGACGAAAGAGGAGGGATTCACCGCGCACTCGCATCAGGCGGGCGAGGCGCGCGGTCTCTTGCAGCGCCGCCTCTCGATGGCTACGCGGACGCAGGTGCTGCAGACCCTCGATGCTGCCCAGGAAGTCGTGTACCCGTATCAGCTCCTGTAAGACAAGTGCTTGACTATTATCTGTCTCTACTACTACCCTTTATTCAATGGGCACCGGAGATTGAAAAGGATGCGCAATGCAGACCACAATTTTCCGCTTTAGAAAAGGGACATGAGGAAATGAGGATTACACTCCCCGCTGACCTAATTTGACGATTGCGTATTATGTACAGCTGAACTGCTTTATCACCATGACAGCCCGCTTCACCTCATCATCGGAGCAGAGAACTGTTTCGAGATCAAGAGTGTGCTAATCTCGCCGAATTGCAAGTGCTAACGGGAAGATTGGTCCTTCAATACAACCTCGTTAGGGTGGCTTGTGAGATGTGGGCTTTGGACGGCTAGTCACCACGAGCATTCAAGCGTCTTACCGGTACACATCTCATTACCATACAGTACCACGTCCGAAGTCTCCTGTGCGAATAATTACGAGCATCTGCATGTTGTACTTTATGCCTTCGTTCACGAGAAATTACGTTCATACACGCCCCACAACTGTTGCCTCCAATCTTGATTAACGGTAGCGAGACTAATCCACAGCATTTGCGCCAAACGGAAGTGTGTAACAAGACAAGCTCAGCACTTACCACTGCATATTGTGCTGCCAGGGTATCATCACTTGTCGTGACTAGAGACACCTTCCCCACGAGTGTTAGTACATGCATGATTTTGGAGGCATCGAAGAAGGTACGTGAATGTGGATGCTGCTTGCGTAGTGCACAGTGATTCAGCTTTGGTAAACACCAAATACGGGCCGTGTCATAACATAGGCTACCACCACCTCTCCACTACCGTAAAATCTTTAAATTCACAAGGCTCTCTACGTTCGACCCTTAAACTAAAAAGGGGATAACACAAATTATCCGCTGGCCAAGCCGAGGCCTTTTGTCGAGCGCTAATCCATCCACCTTGTAAGTCAACTAAATTATTCTAAACAAAACAGAGGATAATGGTTTTGCGTCTGAAAAGTTTGGAAAATGACTATCTTTGGGTGCAAACGATAGCCAGTAAAGGAACTGGGAAAATAAGTCTACCCAGGATAGAAGTGGTAACTCATTAAACGCTTGCACCATTATTCACTCAGCGGAAAAGTGCTTCTACAATTATTAAGCATAAAATAAGCCTGCCCACTAACCCCACTGGTAGACACTGAGTCAATTAGATTTTGGTGAGAAAAATAAGGGCATACATCGAGTTTGAAGAGGAGGGAAAGTGCATGCCTTAGAGCGAGGAGAAGGGGAGAATTATCACTATGTGAAATAGCAAGTTAGCAGATATTCGGCTTCCATCCAGCAGATCAAGTCAGAGAGAGAATAGAGCATTACTGCTGCATTCATAAAACAAAGAAGTGCGCCTCGTCCTTCCGGGGAAGAAATGTCAAAAAAGTGACCACCACAGAGGATAGCAGAAGCCAGTTGGCTGTGAGCCAGATTTGATTAAGTTAGACGAAACGTGACTACTTGTGCAAAGAAGATCCAAGAAGACACTGAAAAGAATGAGAAAAAAGAGCCGCTTCGACATTGCTGATTGTTAACTGCACATTAATTCAGCCTTGGACGAAAGGCTAAAACCATTGCTGCGTCATTATGCCTGCGAGATTATGCAAGGAGAAGGGCGCACCAGCTTGCATTTATAAGGCAAATAAAATGTCTGGTTCCCGATTGGGGAAGTAGGAGGCAAGTCATTTCACTTCATCTCAAAGTAATCTTATTCGGACAAAAAAACGGGCTCGCTTTGAGTGAAAGGAAAAGCAAATAATTCCTTAATTCATGAGACACAAAACGGGGGAAGAGACCGACACTGACAAGGGGATTTTACCGAACGCCTCGTATATCCAACCTTTTTACGTTGAATAGTCTTTGAAGGTGGCATGGACGCTAAATTGGAGGTAGTAGGGTATGATGTTTAACAAAAAGTTTCCGCATCCCACGTTCACAGAAATTGATGGCCTCTACTGATGCAAAAATTGCAAATGAAAAGAGAACACATGGAAAGAATAAAAACATCTAAAAGCTTTTCCCACCTCATTCCAAAGTATCAAAGTATCATCAAAGTATCCAAAGTATCAAAGTATCAGTATCAAAGTATTAGTCAGGATGACCGGCGCAGCAGTGTACAACAACCAGAAGGGCTGAACTAGACGACACTCGCTTCCTTTTCAGCAGCATGATATGGACATCTACAGAGGATTGTATTGTATGCCATAGAATAGGCTCTCTGTGCTCACAGAGCTCATACCAGGGTTACTAGAGAGCCAACAATTCTATTTGACTTGCAGAGTTAGATTAAACGTGATCACTGTCAAAAATTTGGCATTACTTTGCCCAGAGGTGAAATCCAATTAACAACAGCAAATAAGGCTACGAAGGGTACTCAAAACACGCCATTTTTACCACTTTAAAAATTTATTTTTTTGCACGAGAGGAGAAGTAAAACATTGGTAAAAAACACAATTACAGTATCAACGAGAATAAATCGCCTTTGTTCAGTCATCGGATTCGACAATGACGATTACCAAGATTTAGGGCTACCAAAAGTTCAAAATATTGCTTTGTGCGACAAGAATATCTGCTTCAAGCATCAGCATTAAATCATCTTCAGTGTTTACAATGATAATCCAAGTGTTGCAGGAGGAATAAATTTATGAGAAAAGGTAGAAAAGTTCCGTGATTATATGTATTAAACAACTTGATAAATCAAGTAATGTTCCAGATTTGGAGCAAACTTAACTGTAGAGAGTAATTAATAATAACCAAGCAACGAGAATAAGGTTTATACCCTATGAATTATTTCACTTTCAGTATTCCACACACAACAGATTCTGGTTCCAAAAATAGCATGACATACGGCTTTTTTTCACTGTGCCCGGTACCTCAGTTTAACTTAGTTCTACGCAAATTTATAAGTAATTGAATGCAAAATTAAAGGGAGGACCCAACGATATATCAGACCATAATCGCACCGCGCATTAGAGCAAAGGTAAACGACGATGACCAGAAGCTCAAATTTTCATTACCGTAGCTGTCTGACGTAAATTCTCCAAAAGAAATAAGTTAAACATTACCAGAAACCTATCAATCATTTTCGACTATCCAGAATTTGTCAATACAAACTCATCTACGTCTACTTGCTCGAAGTCGACTTGGCAAGACAGCATGTCGTTGGGTCCTAAACCATAGAACGCTGCTTACGCAACCCTGTCAATTCTGTATTTACAATGTACGCCCGGTGCGAATTCGATGATAAACAAAAAATTGTTCACTTGTACCAAGCCTGCTTAGCGAAACAACCAGTTCGTCCATACTTTTTAGGTTTCCAGATTTTCTCAGTTAAGCGTTATCTTAGGCATTTCTGATTGATGCACATGCATGATTACGATGAAGCAGTAATAAAGCGTTCTGATATTACTATCAAAACAAACAAGTTTTTTTCCACCAAAAAAGACCTAGGGCAAGGTGTCACAAGCTATTCTATACTTCCTTAAGTTTAACCCCAAACGCTCCCACAAAATCAACCACTTCAAAGCTAATCGACATTCTAGGTTCAAGTTGATGATTAATTTAGGCACTCCATCAGCAACATAAACAATATTGCCATAAACTGGACGATAAAAATTAAATCAAATGAATTAAACCGAAGTATATAATCAAAACATTTATTCTGGAGTTTTAATCATAAAATTCAGATTCACCATATATAGTCAGCCTGTCGCAAAGCTCTGTAAAAATGAAAGAACGAACTTTGCAAACTACAGACGGTTACACATCGACTTTCGGCGATGAACACAGCAACTATATTGACTAATAAGTTCAAGGGAGAAAAAGATTTAGGCAATTTTACAAAATGAAGCACAATCTAGAAAACTTTAAACGAACGACAAAGGCGTTAATAAAATCACAGCATAAGATGATGGATAAACAGTCCAATAGAATAAACAAGTGGAAGAAATCGACGAATTCCAAAAAACAATAACAGGAACACGAACAAACCACGCCAATAAGGCACCTCCAATTCAAGATTTACTAAGAGAGAAGTTGACGAAAAATCGGCAACCACAAAAGGCAGAGTTACTCGAGAAAGCATTAAACAAAACCACTCAGCAAAGAAATTTTCACGCTATTGTGATAAAACACTTCGTCAAAACTATATTCTGTTCGTTCGAAAAAGTACTATCTAGGAGGAAAAGTCACCATTCCGATGAAAGTGCGATTAAATAATGAAATCTTAAAACTGTCCAAAAAAACCACGTAACAGGTATGAAATAAACACCAAATGAGCCATACAACGTAGAGAATTGCAAGCTGCAAATACATAGTTGTGGGGAAAAGGTGGGAATAACAATTTCAGGAAAAATGTAGGACGAGATAAGTACTCACCTCACTGGATCGCTTATCAGGAGGTGTCTCCAGTATTCGCAGAATTTCGGAGTTCTCCGAACCCATTAATACAAAGATCGCCTTTTTCAAAAATGCTATGGAGAATTGAGGAATGTCCGTCCAGACATGTGAACGCCCCCCGCTTCACCAATGAAATACACTTGCATGCCGCGCTTACTTTGGCTGCAGAATAGAACAACAGGGAAGCCATATTATCTGCCACGTTAAAAATCAAAGTTTGAGGTTACCTTTTGATTAATTAAATTTCTCATTTATTTCTGCTGCTTTAGCTGATGACAATAAACTGGTCTTGAGCCGGATTTTAGTTGAAGGCTATAAAGGATATTTCACCAAATTTTCAGTCTTTATAATTACTGAGATAAAGGTCCGCAATAGCACTCTACTTGTAAATCTGTTAGTGGCTGCAGCCCTGTCACAGACTTACATTAGCTGACAGCTGGTCTAATTTTATTTGCTACCTTTTATTCCACATTTTTACAATTTGCATTTTACATGTATTCGTGTACAAATTTCCGTGACTAAAGCTTATTGTCAACACTGCGGTGCTTCAGAAGATTTTGGATATCTTTGCTTACCTGTGAAGCTTTTTATAGCTGCCCCTTTGCCCACTTGGTGTTCCGCCTTTTCACTTAGACTTAAAACCAACCACTCATACAAAATAACGATTTGTTTTCTTACAAATACAGCTACTTTTATTTTATTCACGCCTGTGTTGACAACTTTGTGCCAGAATTAGCGGCAAGAGAGCGCTAATGCCATAACCTCCTCAGCTTGACGCGCCCAATTAAAACACTGTCCACCCTCCCAGGCAGGTTGTGAGCTGCGAAGCCGCGTCGGAATGTCCGTAATAATTGTGGGCGGGGTTGTTAATAAGCACGTCCCAAACGTCCCGCTGACAGATGTCCAGTTTATCAGATGGTATTTTTGGAAAAAAGATAAAACACGTTGTACTTTCTCATGCATGAGCTTATTGGCTGATGTACCCAGAAATCGGTAGCGGTAATTAATGCAACTAGCCTTACTTTCTCAAATAAATGAAATGGGTGGTTTTTTCTAACCGCACTTGTTGGCAATTAGTGCTTTAGCAATTCGAGATGCTTTCTGCCCTCTTGGTGCGATTTTTCATGGAAAAGTAGTGCTTTGATGTATGGTTCTGTCAAATCACATTTGCACTTCTTGCCAGGAGGAAAGATGAAATGAGAAAAGGGGGCGTTTTCACGCTTGAGTCCTCACCGTGGATAACTGGATGGTGCAATTTCACGCCTGTGGCTGCTCTGAGTTAAATCATTATCCACGGCAAATTACTTAACAATAGCTATGCAAATGGTTATCGTAACTACGTCCTAACGCTTGCAAGAAGTGGGCCTGTGGAAGGCGATGGCGTTAATCAGTTGAACCTCACCTGATTCACGGTCATCTGATATGATTTCCCTGTGCACGCGAATGTTTTCATACTTCCCAATGTTTAACGGGTGACTTTTCTAGTTGTATAACTCAACTTCCTACTAGGTACCATCTTCAGACTCCTCCTGAAGTTCATAGTCGCCATAAATTCGGCCTTTTCAAACGTGCATGAGCTTTTTCAAGACTGACATGCTAGTTTAAATATACTGTTAAGTAAATGTACACCCCCTAAGGCAAAACCGTGCCACTCACGTGGGTTCAGAAGCCGCTCTTCGAATGCAGCTAAAAAAAAAAAAAAACTTGCATTGGTTGCACTGCTTCATTAGCCAACCCCGTACCGCACCTGCGGATCACAGTTGACACCGAGACAGCTCGCCGCGTCGCCAACAAGGTGCGCCAACCCACCCCCGGTCGATACAACCCAACCTCGCCAACGAATTTCGCAGCCTCCATACCCTACAGCCCGGCCTCGTCCCTAAATTGTACGGGCTCAGACTTCCACCCCGAATCCCGACATCGCACGTTTCACCTCGTTCGCAATCCGCCGTTTGGCAGACGTCCACGCGTTTCACCAGAATGCCTGCGACGGCGGCACCACCAGCGCGAAAGTACCCCTCCCTCGCTTCCCCAAGTTGGCAGAAGTAAAAAGTGACACAAATATTGAAACCCTCTTGCAAATTCACCGTTCTTATGCACACAGCACAATGGCAATTACAGTAGTAGCAGCAGCCCTAGTGATAGTTGCAATACTGGTAGTAATCGTTCGTAGTAATAAGGATAGCAATACATAGTAACAATGGCACGCACAGGCACGCAATAAACTCCAAAACTCACACGCGTGTTTGTGCATGTGTGCGTGCGTGTGCATGACATACAACGACCATCAGAGATAAAAAAGAGGTAAAGTGAGAGAGGGCAGCGTCTCGGGGACGGAGAACCACCCTTGCACACTCAAAGGGGAAGCGGAAGAAAGCGGGATGGTGACTGGGGTCAGAAAGGGGATAGGAGAGGCGAGACTTCGTCACCCAATCAACTCAGTGTAGCTGCAGCAGGAGCGACGGTCTTCGTCTCGGCAACTGGTTGGGGAGAGGGTGTGGGAGCAGCTGATGTCGCCGCGCCTCCCTGAGCTTGCGTCATTGATGACGCGGAAGGCATTTGGTTGGATGGTTGGCTTCCACCACCGGCGGTGACAGCACTGCTGCTGTTGTTGCTATTGCTACTATTGCCACCACCGCTGATGCTGCTTTGTGGGGGTGTGAAGTTGGAGATACAGCTGCGCGCTACGACGGTGACGATGCTTCGGTTCGCAAAAAAAAGCACGGAAGGAAAGAGAATTAAACGCGGTTATTACCACCCTCGGACAGTCACTACCTCTGGAAATAGCCACAGAACCTGAACAGGTTAGCGGGGTATAACCATGGCGCGACCTCGGGTGAGGTCCACAATTAGAGCACAGATTACTAGATTCTATCGCTTGCGCTTGCGACGCACACCGAAGAAGACACCGCCCCTCACTTTCTTTCACATTTATCTAGAAACATGTGCAAGTTCTTTACTCCTCTTTCCCTACTGAAACAGCTCGATAGCCTCTTCCACCGCCTTCTCCTCCAATTCGATAAGAGAGTTTGCAACTGGCTTGAGAAAACTGAAAGAAAACGGGACCGAGAAGGGAATAAACTCAGGCAAGCCAAAGGAGTAAAGTAAAGGCAGGTTGTGGATACAAGTGAGAAGATAACTTACTCCTCCATGTCCTTGTGACAGCGTGCAAACTCATGGTCCCAGTAGTGGTAGATGGGATTCCGTAACAACTCCGCGGAGGTCATCAACAGACCCCAGGGATGTGGACGGTTCACAATCAAACGCTCCATCAACACACGACTAATCTGCTCTTTCACCTTTTGCATCGGCAACTCAGCAAAGAGATAAAGGAGGCTGTAGGAGAAGTAGTAGGTGTGCGAATTGAGATAGCGCAATTGATTAGCCATGCAATTGAGCAAGAGGTAGCATCCCTCATCGTCTAGATTCACAATCAAAGCTTGGAGAATCTCCATCTGCGGTGTGTTTGCCACCGAGTTCACATTCAGCGGCGTTCCAGAGTCACGGAGGCTCCGGACCGCAGTGATACAGAGATAAAGCACCAAATCGGTCATCAATTCCGCGCTGTAGTGCATGTTATTGGCGACGCCGTACGTGGAGAGCATCTGTGAGCCCAAGGCGGCCCAGAAGGCCGCCATGTTTGCCTGCTGAGCAGCTCCCACGAGCACAGCGTGCTGTTGTGCAGCTGCAGCCGCAGCTTTCGCTGCTGCAGCTTTCTTCGCCTTTTTGCCCTGCGGGGGCGGTGGGGGTGGAGCCACCTCCTGTGAACACGCATCTCCGCCCTCAGAATGTTCCACGTTTAGCGCCGAGGTGAGGAGGTGTGAAGGAGAAATGAGAAGTGCAGCCACCGAATCGACCCGCTGCAGCATTAAGCTGAGTTCGGAGAGGAGCTTAGTGGGTACTCGAGAGGAGAGATAGGAGTCGATTTCTGACCGGAGAACGGGTGGTAGACGATTTCCCGCCTCCATAGTGTAGCCGATGGGATCTTCCAACTGAGACAGTTGATTAACCGGAGGAGCGTTGAGAGGATCAGTCGGGGAGACGCCGCGTCTGGGCTCACTGGAGAGGATGAGATTACGCAATTGAATGGCGGAGGACGAGATGATGTTGCAGAAGAAGAGGCAGTAGTCAGATATGAAGTCGGGGAAGTCGTGGAAAAGCACGAGGCAAAGGCGGAAGGTGGCGATGAAGAGTGACGTGACGTGCTTGAGTGCAATAGCATTCTGCAGATAGAAGGCCAAGTAAGTGAGCATATCAGCCAGCAACTGGGCGTAGACAGCACGGTAGGCAGCACGCAGCTGAGGGGACACTGACGCTCCCAGGGTGTGCGACACGAAATACCGATGTCCTATCACTTCGAGAAAGGCGAGTGTGAACTTGGCCACCCGTGTTGGACGTAGCATGTGAAAAAGTTTGCCAAACGCGATGGGAATGTACTCGTGTAAGGTCAGGCTTTTTGATTGAGTCTCGCCTGTCTCGCCCGTCGAGGTGGCTGTGGTGGAATTAGCAGGTCGCGGAGGAGTGGGAGCGTTGTTGCATAGGTCCATGAATAACATCACGAGGATGCGTTCAAAGGGCATAGGGTGGAAGAGTTCAGGGCGAACTTCGTGACTCTGCATAAGGGTGCCGCCAATGATACCCAACACCCGACTCAATAGGGCTATTTTGGGATTATTCCTTTCCGTCCCATTCTCCACTGGACTTTCAGGCCAGTTAACCACGTAACTGATGAGACGAGCGTAGGCGTCCAACTCAATGTAGACATTGTTGTTCCGCGTGTTGTTGACCAAGTTGGTGGAAGCCTGTTCTGCCTGCTTGAGGTTGTTTAACGTCCTTTCAACCACGTAGATGGTAGCCAGCCGGAAGAAGCGAGTGAGGCTCTCGTCAGAGGAGAGGAAACCCATCCCGATGAGGTTGTTAATGGCCTGTTCAGCCGGTGACCCAGCCTCTGCTTGTTCCTGCGGATTGCGGTAAAATTCCACCCACCAACGGAAGTAATTCTCCGTCTTCGCCTTCATCTGCTGGGTGTCGTCGAATTCACGGGCGCGCGAACAACCGACGAAAAGGGCTGCGCACTCCACAGAATCGTTACCGTAAAAGAGGCTTAAGGGCTCGGTGTCAAAGAGACCCCAATCCATGAGGGCTCGAACACGAGCGCAGGACAGCCGGAGACGCAAGTTAAAGTCACCGGGTGCAACGAGAGTAGCCCGCTGCTGGGCTTGAAGGGCTCGAATTGTGAGCCAAAGGTCGTACTCGTTCAAAACGGTGAACTCACGTTTGCTGGTGACCGCATAAACGTTCCCAAGAGACGAGGCAATGGTTCGTGTGCTATTACTGGCTAGCTGACTGGTAATTGCAGCATTAGCACTATCAACGGGGATGGAGACAGACGGAGACCCCATGAAAATAGGCAGCACAAAGTGGTCCAGCAGGTTGAGCACGAAGGTGGTCGCCATCATGTGACCAGAAGCAATCTTACCCGCTAGGTAAGCGTCGATCTGCGTGAGGTAGAGAACATGGACTTTCAGAAGCTCTGCGAAAGCCTCCCAGTTCCACTTGCTACTGCTAACATTAAGCCCTATTGAATTGTTGGAATCGCCTCCTGTTGACACCCGAGTGCCGGATTTGGCCACAGCGAGAGTAGCAAGTGTGGAAAGCTGTTCCACCTTTGAGGCGTTCGTCGAGGCGGAGAGAACGGGACGTTGGATATTCGAGGGCTCCGCATCACCATCAGGCAGCTGGATCCAAGCATTTGTCACCTGCTTAGTAACCCAGGAGTTCTGTTCACAAGAGAGCAGGTGCCTTAAAGTGATCATGTGAGCCTCCTTGAGGTGTTCCATCACCTGAAGACCGCCAGGTTGTTCAGTCCACTGCGAAGGACGATAGTGAGTGAGGAGCGACTGAATAAGAAACGCGATTATCCGCACACAGACGTTTTCACCCCCGGAAGCGGCACCACCGCCACCGGAGCTCACACCACTAACAGCCGTGGCTTTCGCTAGTTGTACAATCTCCACAAGATTGTGCAAGGAGCGCACCATAGCAGGTTCCTGTGAGGGGGTCACGGGGGCAAGAAGCTTCGTGATGTTGGCCAGGTGACGTCGGATATACATCACAATGCTGTCAAAGAGGTTCATGGACGATGTCGATTGAGGAGGTTGCTGTTGAGGATGCGTCTGTTGTTGCTGCTGTTGTGGTGGTTGTTGAGAGGTAACAGCACTCGTATGCGGTTGTTGCTGCTGCTGTTGAAGGTATTGCTGCTGCTGGTGTTGCTGAAAAAGCAATTTCGCAGCTACGGCGATCTGCTGAGGTGTTCCAGAAGTTGACGATGACGAAACCGTGGGCTGAGGAACCATGGGGCCAGCCGTCCTCTGAAACATCTGCTGAGCTTGCGCAGCTGCAACGGCAGCACCGGTCGAAGTTGGAAGTGGGAAGTGACTGCTCTCTGGAGACATAGGACCAACCGGCGGAGCAAAGCCCGGAATCGAGCGACCAAACTCCTGGTACACCTCCAGGCGCATATTGTTCAATAGATGCGTGTTCACTCGCACGCACTCAGGAAGGTTCTGATGACTATGGCTGATCTGTTCCTCGAACCGACGTGGTCCCAATTCCTGGCGGAGCTTTACATCCGCTTCCAACTTCTTTTCCACCTCCCAAACTGCGCGCTCCGCAATGGTTTTCTGCATGTAGGACACCGAGACCTGGGCGACCCTGGCAGCCACAACCATTGCGATGAGTTCCACTGCTTCCTTGTCATGCTGATTACTGAACTTGACTATATTCCAGATAGAACTGATGAGGTTATTGCACAAGCTGACGTGGAAGGCCTCGCGTCCACTGGTGAGAGAGGAGGCAGCGGCCAGGTGACGCACCATCTGTTTGGCAGCACACAACATCGGCATGGGCTTTGAATGGAAAGCAAAGTCCTTCCGTATCAGTGTTTCCGTCGTCGATAGAGCCAACGATATCGACCGCTCTGCCAGGGGACCAAGGGTCTCCTTGATGCACTTCTCAATCGCCGGCAAGATCACCGCTCGAACTGCCTCCATACGAATCATATTAAATGCCTTTAAGGCAGCATTGGAGTTAAGGTTCTGCACGGATGACTGAGAGATGGCATACAACTGCTGAATGATCTCCTCCATGTTGACAGAGGAGCGCACAGTGGAAAGATCTAAATCATCGTACTGTGGCAAAGAACTGCCGGCGCTGCCAGCCGTTCCAGAGTGAGAGAGTTCCCTTGCCTGCTGTGTGGAACTAACCAATTGAGGGGCTGAAACGACATGCGGGAGACCGGCGGCAGCGGCAGCTGGATTGTAGGTGGAGGTTGATGCCGCTGAGATCTGCTGAGTTGCAACAACCGCTGCAGCAACTTGGGGATATAACTGCGGTTGTTGCTGTCTTCCAGGCTGCTGCTGCTGTTGTGGTTGCGCCAGTGATGGCTGTTGTTGTTGAGGCTGCTGACCAACCACAGCATTCTGCTGCATAGCCACGAGAGCTGGGTCCCACTTGCGACGAAAGCTATCATCAGCAGCGGCGGCACCACCGTAGGAGTAGATGGAATCACCTCGATGAACATTTCCAGCCATGACGGCGGCGGCAGCAGCTGCAGCAGGATTCGACTGAGCACCTTCCAGAAGGGCAGTGAAGACGTTTGAACGTCCACCAGCTGTAGAACTGGCGGCTGCATACATCTGCTGATGCTGTGGTTGCTGCTGTTGAGCAGCAGCCAACCTCTGGTGCTGTTGATGTGCCAACGCAGCCAGTGAGCGAGGGTTGCACTCCATAGCGGGGGTATCGTAAGGAATCGCCTGTTGTGCTTGAAGCGTTGCCTGGGCCTGCAAAGCCCGCGCCTGATTTGTTAATTGTGATGGTGGTGGTGGTTGTTGCTGCTGCTGCGGCTGCGGCTGCGGCTGCTGACCAGTCGAGGAAGCGGTTCCGGCCGACGGATTCACGTAAAAGATGTACCGCTTCTCCAAGTTTGCCAGATTATTTCGATTTCGCAGGTACTCTGCCGGCGTAAGGTCCCGCAGTTCGTAACCCAGCATTTTGCATGTTAATTCAATCTACATCAGAGCATAGGTAATGTGAGGTGCACGTATAGAAAAAAAAAGGGAAAAGAAGAGGTGAATGTACATACCTCAAATTTCAGTTGAACCTTCATGTCACAAACATCGTAAAGCTCTCGTAGCACTTTAAGGATGGCCATAGTGTAAGGAGAAGGTGGAGCAAAGACGCTGTCAACAGCCCCACGGAGAACATTAGAGATGAAGGGGATGACAAAGTTGAGGGCCACAGAGCCCTTCTCCTCCGCTTCCAAAATGAGCTCCTTCAAACTCAAATCGTCGTGGAGAATTGGCTTATTTCGTGCAAGTGTCAGGAGACCCAAAAAACGACCCAGGCTCTTTAGGCATCCTCGTGCATGCGGGTCGTCAACGTCGGATCGAAGGTTGCGCAGGATCCCCTAGAAAACGAGGGAAGGAGGTAGGCAGAGGCCTGCGATTACAATAGACATGTAGGCCAAATCCATCTGACCTTGATAGCGCGAAAGAGTTCAGAGAGGACGAGTTGCCGAGCAGTGGGAAAACGCTTCTGAACTTCGTCAACAACATCGTCAAAGACTTCGAGGAATGAATTTTCAACGGTGACACGTTTGTTGACCAAGTAGTGGGCAAACCAAGGTAGGGTGGACTCCTGTAAAATGCCGCAAAGCTCCTCTGCTTTCTCCTTCGCATTCAGAGGGGAGACATTGTTAAAGACGAAGAAGATACGGTCGCGAACGCTTTCATCAGGCGATTCGGGTGGTGCAGACTCCGGCATCGGCGGCGCCTGATGCTGCTGCTGTTGTTGTTGTAGCAAGATTTGTTGGGTATGTAGTGCCGTCGCAGTCTGTCCAGCTATCTGCAAGTCCTGCAGGTTCGACAAGAATGGTCAACGAATCAGCCTCTGAAAGTATTGTTGATTGTCCACCGCCGTTTCGTTTTACACTACGCTGCTCTGCAACACGAAGCGCTAACCTGAATCACGACCACTTCTCTGCGATACTGACCAAAACTCTGAGTTTTCCTTCAAACATCCATCACTTTAAGTTAAACAGAACTTGTTTTAATCATATAGTTGGTGATGCGGATTTCTTAAGTGCTTGGGCGTCCCCAAACCCTCCGCAAATAAATGGTAGGGATGAAGCCTCACTTCTGTGCTTCGCAACACCACGCTGGCTGCGCTAAGCCAATAGGCCAACTGAGAATGCCATTTGGCACGAATAAATGAATAGTAAATGAAAAGTAAACCTTTTCGTTCTACAGGTGTAAACGGGGACTTTACCAAGAGGGCGCCACAACACCATGTTAAATGTGACTCATTACGGGTACTGAAAGCCAGCACATAGGTCGCAAGCCAGTCCAATGTGGACACCGTTAATGGAGATTGAGAATAAAAGTAATACAGTCTGCTAAAAATTTGCATGAGACGAATATTTATATGGCAATGGTAAACACAATCATTTATAAGCACTTCTGACTCTAAAGGGGTAGCACACGCTAGATACGAAAAAAAACGTGTCGCCTTTGACTAGCAGAAGTACACAGATCCAGCACCGGTGGTGAAAAGAAACAGTTTGACTCGGATACTTTTGATGGAACTTGCCTTGAGTGACTGCGAACCGGTGAGGTGAGGGTGGCTGTTTGATTGCTGACATTGGAAGCTCTTACAGAAGGCGTCTGCACTCGCAATGGCCTAAAAAGCGAAAGGGGCTATCGTTAGATTTAACACGGAAAAGACAATACTTTCACAAATGCGTAGGAGGATTACGTCCAAGACGCAGAGCACTAAACTTACATCGCGCAACTCAGAAGGAAAATGCTTGAAGGCGAAGCAATTAACCAGATAATTGGTCAAGTTGACGTAACGAATAAACCTGTGGGAGACAAGTGGGTTGGAAAATATAAAACTCGTAGAGAGAAACCGCTGACAAAGCGATTAAAGTAGCGACTTACGTGGGCTTAGTCTTGTTGAGGATGTTCACAACAGCTCGAAAAGCCGGTGTTTCAGTGTGTATTTCGTTGGTAAAAAGGAAGACGCGATTCAAAAATGCCTTCCACAGCATGGAAAGGGCTGACACGGAGAGTCTAAACAGGAATAAGTTTTAAAAACTGCGTCAAAACATGAGAGGAAGGGAGGATGGCTTACTGGGTGACGAGACCAGCGAGGATGCCGCCATAAAGTTCGGTTATCGAGTGCAGCGCGTGCTCGGGATAATCATGGAGATGACTGGTGACCTCATAGGTAAGGACTCGAAGGATACCATCAAGGAGCTTCTTCTGTCCCGGCGAGTCGGAAGCGGCGTACTCGTAGAGGCACTTCACCATATCCTCAACACTGCAAGCGCCCTGAAGGAGCTTGTGGAAGAATGCGTTCACCTGAACATCTAACTCGCTAGAGAGATTGAGCTCAGGGGGCTCAATATTGAAGTTGAGGTAGATGGAGGGAGGTGGTGGCGCGCTGCCACTTGCGCCACCCACCGGGGGCGGCACTGTCCCTGCCATTGAAGGCCCGCTTCCGGCAGCGGAGGGACCGCGCTGAATCAGCTTGTGTAAATTTGCTGCTAGTGCGACCTACAGTGGGCGATGGAAAGGACTAAATTTACCAGGCATCGTCGACCCAATTCGGCCACACCTTTGGGCAGCGCTGTACATTCAAAATGATGTTCAAATCGAGCCAGTACTATCTGCTGCAAAGCACCTGACATTGCTACGCCGTCTTGCTTATTAATCAGGCGGTGTTCGATGAGCGACCAACCCAACAGTTTTCCAAATTGAAGTAAAGTGGAAACTGCTAATTACGACCACTATTCATTCACTGCTTACTCCTGTACAAATGGAACATACGACATGCTACCTCAGAGCACGAGGTATTTTGTTTGTTTTATATTTATTAGGTCAAACACCGGTTCCGTGTCCTGAAATATGGCGAAGTATGAAAAAACTAAACACCACACCAAACCCAGGTGGATGGTATCGCAGCCAATAACCTAGTGGGAAGCAGGAAGCCTAGCTCCAGATGCGCAAAAACAGTATCTGACTCACTCTGGCCGGATCTGCGTCCCTGGAAGACGCCCACACAGAGGCTGTGGATGCAGGGATGGTAGAGGCAGTCTGGTCGCCGACGACGCAGCTGCCAAATGAGGAAGCGCCCGAAAGGCTGTAGATGCGATTTAAGTTTTGCAAATAGAAGGCTAAAGTCTGATTTGTCTCTGATGCGACCTTTGGTGAAACACTGATAGTTAGGCACCTGAAGAGCAAGAGAGGTAGAAAGGGAGGTTATTCGGGTGGCCTCAAATCGATAATAGAGGGGTGTGCAAGTGTCTGCGCTTGTCCCCATGGTGAGTAGCCAATGGGAAAGCGCCACGTTAGTGCAGGTGATGTGAGTCATACAGACCATCCCTAGTCGTAGGCAGTAAGTTTGCGACTAGCACACACGTGCGCGATTGAAGACGATTAGGCGCCTACCACGCTGAGGTAACGAAGGTTCGAGATCAAAACAGAAAGTCCGGGGAAAGGCGAAGAATTCGTACTGGTTTAAACACAAAATACCAGGATGAAGGAGACCATATTAAGCATGCAAGAGCAACTTGAAACTAGTCTACGCGATAGCAAGACAGATCGGAATGTCAGGTGTTCAAGCCAAAATGGAAATTTGACAATACCAATAAAAATTTACAACACCGAATATGAGGTCGATTTCAGCGTGGCATCACCGCACGCCGAGGTCGCGACTAATAACCTCAAGGATTTAGGTGTGATTTTTTACTGTGTGATGAAATTGTATGCGCACACGAGCTCCCGTAAGCACGAAAAGGACATGGAATTTAATCCAAGCTCTAACAAGCCCAGCTGGGTCACTGATAAGGCCGGTGCCTACACGCCATCATGTACAGACGCAGACGACCGGAACCTACCAGTAGTGACACCCAGTCCAAAAGAACCTCCTACTCCACGAAACGATGTTGTAGCATTTTCTCGGGCTACGAATGCACTATAATTTTATGAGAAAGAAATCCTTGGATTAGATTTAACAGAGTATCACAGTCGAAGAATTGATACACATGGCATGCATGCATGGCACCTGTAGACTACAGAGGAATCGATTGCAGGTACAATATTTTGTGTAAAACCTAACCGCAAGGCCGTGTCCCTGGAGTACAACTAGCAAAAGTCATGATCAAAACAAGCGTGGCGATAAAGCGGATCACTGAGGGGTTAACGCTGGCATGAGATTGGTATTTGGGAAGCAAAGGCAGATCCAACCCATGGCTGATAATCATCCTGAAAGGGATTAACTGTTTGTAGCTGAATGAACACCCCAAAACCATAAGGGAATGATTGAAATACCCGCAGCATCACTCCTAGTTTCAGATTATCAGCTAAGGAATTATAGATTAAAATGCAACATATAAGCGACTACCATCCGAGGCCTTCCTCTTTGGAAAGATTCAGGGCGAAGGCAAAATTATTCACGGGAACTGAGAAATTGGTAGAAAAGGGTTTTAACCGAGAAAACAAGTAAATGATGAATCTAACGCCAAAGGATATCCAGACGCATTTAAGGTATAAAAACAGTACCAATACTCAACGCAGTAGTCCAGAGAACGGCCTACCTCCAAGATAAAATTGGTAAACTTTAGAAAAATCTTTGAAAGTAACTTTACAAACTAAGCGTAAACGATGTCAATCACGAATTACTTCAAGAAAAATCACTTACAAAAGCACTCGTTCTACGTGTTGCTAACGCAGTAGATGAGGGAATTATAAAGTCCACGTGAATGAGATGAAAAGAAGGATGCGTTCACCACTGAAAGATAAACGGGGTTCGCATAGACTCCGGCTCCACCCGAAGGAGGGGGGCCTTCACGCGAGAAGAAAAGCGATGATACCACGGCAGAGAGGCAAAAACGGTCTCTACAGTACCACCCTTTGGAAGTGGTTACAAGCCGATACGTACGCACGCAGAGTATACCACGGCAAACCAAACGGTAAGCTGTGTGAATGTTACTGATGCTAACGCAAGAGGCAGAGAGCGGAGACAGCGCGCCAGACCACGAGGACAGCGGGCAAACGAATGACGCCGTGCGCACGCCGTACAGCAACCCCTCAGCCAGCCAATCCGACCGCGAAGTGCACACATCCGCACTCGATCGCGCGGACCAATCAAGGTGCAATCACAATTACGCGCAATCGATAAACTCAACTCAGGAGCGCACGCCTCGGCACCACCGCATCAGCTGATCGCGCGCACGACCGCACGCACACATTTAACGCGTAAAACCGGTTGCTATGGCGGTGGGAAATTAATTGACAAGATGGGAGCAGAGCCTTGACCCCCATATAGATGACTGTAGGGGGTTACCAATTGAGATAGGAGGACCCAATATTTATTCGGAAGGATAAAGCATCTATGTTTGTGGGGTGAGTCAAGGAGACAGGTAGTCCAGAGGACGCACAATAGAAATGGCTAGTTTGAGGTCGAATGCTTTGGCGAAAGTGGGATATTTAAACATTCATTTTGGGGTAAAACAAATCTTGTTGAGACGAGAACGGAGCTTTTGCCGGTGGAATAAGAAGAAAGATGACTAACTGGCTAGTTGACCGATTGGCCACCACATGCAGGCCCGCATTTCTGACACCATCGGTTAGTCGACAAACATGACCACCGACCCACCTCCGCCTACTTCACAGGTGTTCGCAAAGGCTAACCCAAGTCATGTGACTCGAGCATTGATGTAAACATGTGGATTTAGGCTGTGAATCCTACATCACCACCATTGTCTGACGCGAGACGGCATATCAACGATGAATAAAACTGTTTTTACCACCCCAAGGGTACTAACAGGGGTTTACAACTCGGGATGAAAGTGCATGAACGATATAGGGGGCTAAGTTAACCCAATTGCGGAAGCAATTTATAACCATGTATCGCTCCGACCACTTTGAGTAGTAAAATAAAATCAGTGGAGACGTCTGCGATTTCCTCACGATCCCCAACGAAACCTTGTAGAGCATACCTCAGAAGTAGATTCCAGCTCATTTTTCAAGTCAACCGCACCGCCTAAAGACATCTCTACTCATTCAAAGAAAGGAAGTGGTTCATCCGATTAGCTCCCAAATCAGTATTTTGGTCACTTCAGTGCCACACAACCATACGGCCATCGTTCGCAGTTTTGAGAAAGAAAGTTGAACTTCACTAGTTTAGCGCCTCATGACACCCTAGCCGATGTGGTTGCCAGAATTCGACTCCGAGTTCATTTGACATTTTGACCTCGAACCGCCGCATCGAACGTCAAATCTACTCACTTACTTACAACATTTCAGTAGCAACATTTAACGCGCCAGTGTTGCCATTTGGTGCCGGAGCAGAAGCAAGGGACTGGCTTAAAGACGTCTAAAGCTGGTGGATACCAATTTCGTGGAGTCAAATTATTTCTATTTAAAAGGACAATCAAGATGTAGATTTCGATGTAAGTAATATTCATTCGTACTACAAGTTGTCGAATAGCAAAAATCCGTTTGGCATATTGAATAGCACAACTCCCGGCATAAGCTCGAGACTGGATTAGACAAACTCTTAAAAGCCTACGAAATATTTCATTTCGAAAATATTCCAATTCATCCTATGCAGTTCGGAGCAAAAATATGAACGAAGTTAGAGGCGGGCACATCAGATACGACAACGAACTGGCAAATAGCACTGGAGAGTCTTCCATCAGTTACCTAAACCACTGGTGATAAATAAAAATGTCACTAGATGGGAAGTAATTATGGATTAAGAGGAACAGGATGAGACGAGCTACTTCCTTTGGACATAACAATACATACGGTTACGTGGTGATTGGATACTGTTTGGGTGATTGTTTAACGACGCGGGCTCCTCCATCATTGTTAGGTTGTATTTCCCTTCAACAGGACCGCCCTCCAGCCGCGCTTTTAACTGCTACGACTTGGTGCGACTTCGAAGAAAGGCGCCGGTGCCACAGTTAAGCTTCCCCCTTGCGGACGAATGATAACTTTGAAGCGCGATAGAAGAACCGAATGAATTCTTACGCCCGCATCACATAGCTCCATTACAAGGACACAGAAAATAACTCAATGATGAATGCGAGTGCATAGGAATAGCTTTGGAACACGGTGAATCGACGGCTCCAACAGTAGTCCTGAACTAGAGGAGCAACATACGCAGAATTCGAAACCAAGACTAGCTAGCCATCACTTTTTTTAAACCAGATTGATCGACAAAAAGTAGAATTACTTAATGAATTGGTAACCTGGAGCCGTTCCAGAGGAAACCAAAACACCATCCAGTAGAAAAATTTGCATAGAAATTAAAATTAGGTAAACTTCGGCTATTGCAAATTTGTTTTGCTGCATCAACAAAAAGAAGCCTTAACCAGGCAAGTAATGGAAGTACTACTCTGTTTTAGGCGCCAAAGCCGGAATTCGGTAGGCCCGCGATATTTATCTCACCTCTCGCGCACCCATTACTAGTTCAAAAGTACGCTTCCACCTTATTTATCAGCATTCAAAGTGCCTTTACTTTTAGGACAACTTTGCCGAGCTTATGAACGACGTATCCTCTGCTTCCAGTACTAAACTGTGTATACTCCACTCAAACAAATGTAATTAGATGGCTAAATCTTGGTGAAACCACAGAGGAACCAAAAGTGAAGCAACACGGAGGGCTTGAACGTGGTGGTATTCGGATGGAGGTGAACCAGTGAGCTGGAGAACCTAGGACGCCGATGGACGATCTGTCACGTCTCTTTCTGACCATCATGTACGACCATATTTTGCTTCACGACATCAAACATTTACATTTTGATTACCTCCTCCTCCTCCCCCTTCTTCAAGGTTCTAAATACCTTTTCGTGGAGGTAAAGTCATCTTACATTCGCAATGATTGTCAATTCAACAGATTGGCATTTAATCGCTATAAAGAGTCATGCAAAATCTCATTTAAGCGCTAAAATTAGAATCGCCTACAAGTAATCACCACAAAATAGAACTAATTCAGTTGAAGACGTTTGTCAAACACTAGTTTAGTACGCACACTTCTTGAGAGCTCATAGCCAGTGCTGCTTAAACCCTTCATCTTTCTCCGAGAGGTTGCCTTGACGCCATGTAAGTAACGTCTTCATCAACTTTTGAACGGTGGAAAATCTGTTTCTCCCTCCAAAATGACGCAGTGGCATGGTATCGTCAATTGAATGCAATTTCTAATCCCGATCACAGGCATGTCAGGTAAGATCGGAGTTGAAATGAGATAACGAGTGGGTAAATGGCGACAAGCTGCAAGCAAGTTAACTACCCCCCAACAATCATTTTTGAATAACCTGTGATTCCATCCACACGATAGCCATTACCACTGTCCTTCTAGACGCCCAGCCCCTCTGTGCGTTTATTACCACCTTGGAACGACTTCGGGAGCGACTCGAGTGCTGTAAATTAGCATGGTTACCACTAAGATTGCAAAAAATGCCCATCTGTCAACAAGCTTTCAGAACTTTCTAGCTGGCATGAGCAAATGAGGAGGGGGAAAAGGTGTTCAAGTCAGACCGAAAATTCTAATCTTACGACCACAATGTAGGATGCTACGTCGACAGTGCTCTGCATAGAAGTAAATGGTGAATGTCCTGTGATGCATGCGTAGTTTGGGGGGCATTGGCGGTACTTCTGTTGTGGAAGATTCTGTGGTGATGAACGAAGTTTCGTGTCCACTTGCAGATAGTTACGCATACATAAGATGCAATGCATTTGACAATCCCATTCATGGTAACGCCTAGCCCACAGACTCGAAGATGACTCCTGTAAACATTCATTCAGTGAGCGCAAAGCCCGATCCCGATTGACACGCAATCTGTACAAGAGACCAATCTTACTGTGGAAACGGCGAACGCAACACAATCACTGACAAACGTTTACGACTTCGAAAGGTTATATTATGTTAGGTATTTAGAATGTCCTAAAACGTTACAATCATATAAATTGAAATTTCCATACCAAAGCTCGTCAGGGATTCCACACACACTAGAATAGGTAAGTGGAGCAGAGAAATATCGAAAGGGAACTACAGTTTCCACTCTCTGAAATGTTTCCATGTTCTTCAGAAACACATGAGCCCCAGTCTAGCTCGAACATCCCCAAATACACATAGCCTCCCGCTGGAAATGGTCTCTACATCAAAAATTCCAACGATATGCTTCTCTCTAAGTCTCAGGACAAAACTAATGAGCACACAGTCCCACCTGAGTGCCTTGCGAGCAGAGTTAATGATGTGACGGATGATAAAGGCAGGAGGACGGCGAAGATGAACGGGAAGATGGCGGTTAGTCTCCAGCAGCGCCGAAGGCAGCGGCATCGAGGCGACAGGCGCCTGTGGGAGCAGCGGTGCCCCCGATGTGTCTACCAGTGATGGGTAGCGCCGGCATAAGTATCGCAGCAGTTCCACGCAGAAGGCGTCCTACGATAAGAGAGGAAAACCAAACAAGTAGAGTCCACCTAATCAGCACTTCCGATCTTCCCTGTTCCTTTTTTGTCATATTCAGGCAGACTTATCATTACCAAAAGCGTCGTGAGGTTTCCCTATGAATGCTTAATTCACACTGACACTACAAAATGCCTCTTGCAGTAGACACGAAGAACTGCCTCATTCATAATCACTACCCTTTCAGTGTTGTACCGTTCCGCCATCTCTTTCGAGGCCACTGCTTTGAAGTCGGATGAAGAGTTTTGGGAAAGGATAGGAAATCAGATGTCAAGATCATCAGGAATCCACCACACCGACGGCTTTTAACTACCTATTCATTCATTGGGCAGGGATGAAGTGGCACCTAAATTAAATGACCCGAATCTGCATCTTTGGGAAAAGATACTTTGTAATAATTCAATTAAAGCGGTTACGAGTGAACACTCAAACCGACCACCGGGGCATTGAGCAGGAAGGCTTCCTTCACACAATAAAGTAGACCGCTTAATCATTTGCGTGAGAAAGCCATGAGCTCAAAATTCTAGGGTAAAATGGTTTTCTTCTTCTGCAATAAAAGCGTGGGAAATCAGTACGTTGATTTCTTTTAACAAAACATTTCATACCAAATTAGTAATAAGATGGCATCTTAACCAAATGGTCCATATTCACCCTCAAGTGGAGAAGGTAGCGAAACACTGGTGTTGAGGTAGCAACCGCTAAACGAAAACATCCCCAAGAGAGGATCAGACTACTAAAAGTGGATGGTTCGATTGCGCAAAAAATAGTAGAGTTGGAATGGAAGGGTGCAACCAAGAAAACTGGTTCACAGCGTCCTCTCACAGATTAAAACAAATGAGTTAAATTGACGAAGCCAAGAGCCCAAACCGATTACCAAACAGAATATATTCAACAATGCCTCCATCAAAATGCTCAGTAATAACTAAAAGCATAAAATAAGTTAAACCTACTTTATAAGGTGGAAACAACCGAGACGGACAAATAATCGTCATACCAGCAACCCGATAGGAGGGAAGAATTTAACCAAGCTACAGGTTAAGTTTTTCGCCCTTAATCGAACCACAAAAGGGAGACGCATTGACAGAGAGGCGCTCTTGCAAAAAAATGCATAACTACGATGAAAAAGACCCACTACAACGCTATAAGGTATGCTGGCGAAGTTCACGGAATGTACCACAATGTTGATACTGGGGCTAGAAACGCAAGATCATTCAATCCTTTCACTCCCCATTCACGACATCCGGGAAAAATAGGAGCTGGTATCGTAATTTGCCACCAAAATTCAATGGGTTTTGCCAAGATTCCCATTCTAGGTGCATTCTGCTCACGATTTAAGCTTACTATGGCTAATTTAAAGTAATTAATGACCTGCCTTTCCTCCAAAGGTAAGAGAACACAAAGGAGAACCTCACAGCATCCTCCTTCTCGCCAGTCATCTGTTCGGTGAACCAGTTTGTAAGAAACGAGTCCAGCGTCGTCTGAATGGCTGGAATTGGTGTACTGAGAAGGTGCTGCAGACTACCCTCACTGCTACAGTCCCCGGTTCCCATAAAAGCCTTTACCGCGTCCACCATATACACCACCAAACTGAAGGCAAGATCGAGGAGGGCAGCCACAGAGGGCGGTTCTGAGATCTCCGCAAACGCGTTTGCGTCCGGCACTTCTTCGGCTACACTCCTACCAGGCCAGAGTTGAGACACAGCCAAGGAGACAGGTGCCGCTCGACTGCCCAGCATCATTGCCAGTGGCATCACCGAGTCGCCTCGAATACGTAACAATATGTCAATGAGATTGAAGAATGTTGCTTGGACAGAAGAAGAGACAGAAACGGAGGAGAGCGTTTCAGTACCGTTGGAGAGAGCAGTTACACCCCAGGACTCAACTAATTTGAGACAGGTTGTAAGGAAAAGACTGCGTTGGAAACAACGCTGTGTGTCGGTCAGTTTTGGCTATCAAAACCGAAAAAAGCATAAGCGTTAGCAAGTGTGGGGAAGAGCTAAAATCGCCTAGTAAAGAAGAAAAGACCTACAAATGGACCGGTCCATACGGTTTGAAGAATGGATTGGGAGTTCGTATGTGGAAGAAGAAAGTGTGTGAAGGCTAGCGAGAGCATTTTGCATTTCAACGGAACCATTTCCGACTAAAAAGAAAGATATGGTAATTAACTCTCATTCTAGCTGTTACCAAGGACAAACTCATCTCTACGTACGGTTGCAAGAAGCGTTGCGGTGAATATGTCCGGTGAGTGATTAAAACCTTGATCAAGAATACTACGAGCTTCATTGAAAAACCCAACAGTGGAGATGTGAAGCAGAGCGGTCACAAAATCCGAATTCTTCCTATAAATTTGAAAATTGGGATTGCACAAAAGTGGACAAATAAAAGATTTCAGCATATCACCTACCAAATCTGAAGAAGTGGGGCTTTATCCTCCGTCCCTAGCCTAAGGCCGCTAAGGTGGGCCGTGGAAGTGTGAATAAGGATATTTGTTTCAGGGTGAAGAGAGCATTGCTGAAGGAGGGATAGCTGGCCGGAGGCATTTTTCCAGGGACGGTAGAACAGTCCCAACGAAACGTTCTGCTGGCGGTCCACCTCATAGACGAGAAAATGCTTCAACACCGCTAGACCCGCCTGATTCGGGACATGGAAGTAGGGGCAATCGAGCTCGCTGATGACCTGTGTATGGTGAAGAATGAGGAGTTTCCATTATCACTAATGAAACACTACTCAACACTAATAAGACAGTGAATCGACCTGAGAAACTGAAAGGTCGGAATTCATGCAGTGCACCCAACTGAGGAAGTTCTCCACAGGCCACTCATCAACAGCTGGATTAACTGCAACGAGGAGGTAGTGACGGTGAAGTTGAAAGAAAACAATGAAAGAGAAGGAAATGAGTGGGCGAACTTACCAGAAAAGTTCTCTGGAAAGACCGGGTTAGTGGAGCGAAGAAATTCAACGAACTGTTCCGAGGGAAGAAAGGACCTTGACCGGCTGTGCGAATCATTACACACATGCTGCGAGCCACGAAGGTGGTCGTAACATCTATCGAAGAAAACTGACTCAGCAGACACTCGGTCGCCTGACAACTGGAACATCAGAAAAGAGAAGGGAAAACGATCAGTTAGTCGGATTACTTTTCCTGTTGAAAGCTATTATACAATAAGTGGAACAAGCTAATGGAATTCTTCAAGCCAAATCAATAACTCCCTAAAACACTCTTTTCACTATTTGAAAGTAGGTAAAAGAGGAATGGGCTATTTTTAAAGAACTGACGTAGAAAGTGCCATGAAACCGAGGTCTTCAAAAGCATCGGCCAGGAGGAAATCAGCGGAACTTTGAGTCTCATCCTCCACCTTCTTTGATGGCGACCCAGTGAGAGCCTTCAACTGATTGGAAGGGGTGAGGAAGAACGTCTCTATAGACGACGACGGTGACAACGTTAAGTCTTCCTCACCCTTATCAACATCATCAGCCATAGCATCGGCAATGGCACCATTGGGAGTCGATAGGTAACAATCCAGCGAAATCGGTAAAGCAGAGGCCCGTTGTATGCCTATAATGACAAGAGCCAATTTTCCTTACCAGCTGGCCTATGAGGGAAAAATTCGCCAGTACTGATGTGACACTGTATCGACTCTGCTGAGTGTGTGTGCATGTATGAGCGCGAAACATCAGAAGAGTATCGACAACCTTTGGTGCATGAATGAAGGTTCCGTACAAGCATATCCACCTAGCCACATGAAAGTGGAAAAAAATACCTCGCCGGAGAGCTAAAGTGACCTTTGGCGAGAGGTGTCGAAAACTAGAAGGCAGAAGGAGATGCGCGAGGAGAAAATTCACCCTTTCTACTCCAATTTCTCCAATCAAACTGGTTCCAAGTTTGACTAACTTGTCCTCCTTCTCTAACGACGAACCTTCTGAAAATCAAAATGTAAGGCTGGTGTAAGACATGCGAACCACGTTTCTATTTCATCGTCAGGAGGGAAGGAATGGCTAACCTCGATCAATTAATGCAGTGAACCTTGAATGCAACCAACTGCTAAAACATTGTTTTACATCAGCGTTGGTTGCGTGCGTCAGTGAGAGACCCAATGGTAATCCCGTGGATAGAGGTAGACTATCAAGTAATTTCAAGACGAAAGCAAAGATCGGATGACGATCATGCTGTGTTGAAACAGATGACAGCCCATTGTTAAGTTGACTTGAATCCTGTGAAAAAGATATGATAAAAGCGTTCAAAAGTTTGATACTAACAAAAGCAAACTTACGGAAAATAAAGAGTATAAACGCTACCTTTGGGGTGTTTATCAATGACTGAACGGCGAAGCATATTAATGAAGTGAAGTTGGATTTTGACTGCGACTTGCGCAGTCCTTGAATAAGATACGATAGCTGAACAAAGTAATTGTAAATCACCAGAAGAAAACATACCTGAAGGGAATCTTTGGAAGACATTTTGGTATCACATTGGGATAAATCAATATGTGAAAATAAACAACGAAAAAAGTTGCGCTCAACCGAGCCTGGGTTTTGGGCGCATAACTAAAAAGGATAAGAGGCTACAAAAAGCCCATTAATAGCAAAGAAATTCGAGTTAAAAAGGGCCTCAAAAAAATACAAATTAAAGTAAGGAGATCATCATGAGCACACTCCAAACATAATGTGAATCAGTTCATTCGAATAAGTCCTAGTTACCTCAAAGGCTTAGCATTCTTTGGCAGAAAAAACGAGACAGAACTATGATTAAAGTTGGTGTACAATGAGAATACCCAGCCGAAAAATACTAGCTAATCAAAACACCAAAGTGGAAAAATTTAGAAAATTAACAGTGTAATGTGCCAAAGTTACCTCGAGAATCTCCGAAAAAGCTGCCTTATCATTCTTTTTATTCAAAACAGAAACTAAATAATCTATCTGTGAGATAGTTAACGAGAGGCATTCCGCCCCAAGCATGACCTATACACCGGCCAGTTTTTCAAGTTGCCCGCTCAACTGGACAATACTGTAAAATGCTGCAGTACAGTAGCGAAAAATTGTTATAGCATATAAAGTTTCCAAATTTCGATAACTGACAAAAACAACCACATATCATTTAAACGGTTAAAACTGATTTTAAAATAGTTTTGCACACTTTACGTCATATATGAGTTTTTAAACTTGCAAAAAAGCACAAAATTATAAAAAGTAAAAGCTGACTTGTTGGCAATTTCTAGCCGTGGAACAGTGCATTGTTATTTTAAGATGACTAGTTTTAGAAAATGCGTATCGTAACAGATCCTTTTCATTAATAATTACCCTACTCAGAAAATCAGAACGCAGTTATTATTTGATTCTCATCTGCAGCGTCCAGAGTCCTCTCAGATGATGTAATATACTTAATCAAGCTAAAAACAAGTGCTATTATTGAACGCATGGACCGAGTGACTACTAACACGGCAGAACCGAATTACAACCTGCAGAGATTAAGTCGTCAACTCAGTTACACTTAGTTATACATGGAATTATGTTGCTGCACGGGCTCTCTCATCTTAAAAGCATTAATATTGGTCTCCTAGCTCAGACCCTCACGTTGGTCATCACAAATTATGCTCTGCTTTGAAAACTACCCGAAATCATATTTGTGCGTCACTTCATTTTTCTTTGATCCTACTGTTACAGATGTATCTCACTGGCTCTATTGTGTTCGATTTCTGCGTCCAATTTGTGAACTGCATTAGGAAAAGGGAGTCTGCTAGCTCCATGCGAATCAAATCAGGCATTGTTCTCTGACAGGAACAATTCATCTGCCAATTTAAGCTCTAGTAAGAGTAGCCTAGTAATAGGAGCATCTAATAACGGCTAGGATTTAAAATACTTTTAAGAGAGCAACACATTTCGTCCATAAATCCTTGTTACATAATTCTCACTTCAGTACTGTCCAGCCAATCAATCTACGCCCTGTTCAGCTAGTATATCTGTTTACTCAATTATCATTGTGGTTCAAGAGCCACAGACGGTTCCTTAAGTTGTTAATATTACTTCTTCAGATTGATATCTAGCCATAGTGATTAAATTGCTTACTTTTTTGAGTCGGTTTTACTTGTCGCTGACACCAACGCATTGCTCCGAGTCTTCACTTAAACCGTAATAGGCCAAAGCATTATGGATGGCAAGATATTAACAACGTACAGATGGATTGAAGGGCTACTACAGTGACCCGGAGGCCATGGCTGAAGTGCCCACGTAGTTCAACACACGTCCGCTGTCGTAAACATGTTTCTCCCAACCTATTACTTGTATGTTGGAGAAAAATGCAGCTGCAATCCTTGCACACTTCCCCAACGAAGTTAACCTAGGCCCTTTTACCACTTGAGTCACGTATCAGAATCTCGGGTTACATACACACGTGTATCCGTTCAAACCCTACCCAATCTTCTACAACGGAACTCTTCCCTTTACGTGATTTCGTAATTGACAGCATGGAAAGCCTGGTGGACAGAGGAATTAACAGAAGGTGGCTCGCAAGAAGTCCTACCACCTGCTGTCCGCCACAATTTGAGTACATGAGCGATGTACCAGGTCCTCTGGGTGACTACCATCACAGGTAATTAACGAACAATAGTTGGGCTGACATTTTAACCATCTAAATGGATGTCCTGCCACATAGGACTTCTTTTCTTTTAAAAATGCATACCCGCTTTAATACCAGTAATACGTTGGTTATTTGTTTAGCTCTTGATTGCGGCGAAGGGGCCACTTAGGGTTTCCGACACGGCGCATTCGACGGGGAGACTGACCCCCGATCCATGCCAGTAACCTGAAGCCCCACTGTACGTCGACAATGCACCCCCTGCTCGAATGCTATGATTTCTTTGATCTCCAGAGGCATCCTGAGGCGTCGCGCATACGCATGCACCCACCGAGAAATAAGGTCGGGCTTCTCTTACCATCGATGATACCGACGGACAACTACTTGGGAGAGGAAGGCACACTTTTACCCACAGCTTTCACTACTTATACCTTCTTATTCAATTAGTGAGAAATACCCCACTGTCAACAATGCCAAAGCGTGAACCGATTGAGGTCAGGATCCCATACAAAGTTTTTACCCGCCGCTCCTACACCAGTGATATGTCAATCACGTGTTCGGGGCTGTGTGATCCATGCCGTGTTAGAGGCTGATGACCCCTATGACGTTGACGCACAGGCAGCTTCAAGGCGCCAACTGCATCAAGCGTCTTAAGGCTGAACAAACCACCACCACACAACAATACTCGAGGTTCCCCGAGGGTATGAACAGCCGTGGACTTCCCGCTTCTCACACAAGAAACCTCGTCAATCATCGTATGCTGCGCGGTATGCATGTAAATGCCAGCAACCCAATCAACAGTGACTGGACTAGAGACGCTTGCGCCGACCAGATGTAGGAACCACCCCACGCGCCAGTGGCCGCAGCGCCGCCACGATGGTGCACACCCCCGCGGCTGTAAGACCACAGGATTACTCATCGTCATTCTGGACATCCTGCCACAAGCGACCGCCTCATAGCAAATTTCTTCAGTAGTGGTAAAACTTGCAGGATACTTTGGCCTGCAGCCTCATAAACCCTTCCGGATTCATCCCTTTAATCGACATTCCACAAAATGATGGTTGTACATGAAGAGTTCAACAACTGCACCAAATCCTAAGGTCCAAAACCCATGAAAGACAACATTAAATCAACAATGACCCTAGCGTAGAGCTACACAAGACGGGAGTACAACAACACAAATTCTCGCCGCGATAAAAGAGATCAACTCGCTCCAAATGGAACACGACAGACTATTGCTGAAAGATTTCATCTTTGGAATAGCGAAGGCACTCCGGAGAGTCGAGAATCTCCTCCGTCATGGAGATGTCTTTGTGAATCGCCCTGATTAGATCATCTGAATGCAAAGGTAAAGGTGCAAAATCAGTCAGCATTAAGACTGACATGTTTTTTTGATAGCACCCACGTGCGTGGACATGACGTCATCTCACACGTCGTGGCATAAAACTAGGAGTGAATGTGTCATAACACAAACAAAATCGAAGGGTTTTAACTGTCTTGTGTTTGATTATATCACATTCTTCTTTCGCACCTTACCTACCGAGTGACTCAAAATCAAGCTCAGGTCGAAGGTACCGCAACGCCACGATTGTCAGCCGCTTTCCGTAGAAATCTTCCGGAAATGTGTGCAGTATGTGGACCTCCTGTTGACGATGAAGGCAAAAAGGCGAAGCTTTAGGAATTATCTTACTTCAATTAACTAAATTTGGACGGAAGAAGTATCGACTCACAAATAACTGTCTGTTATCGTAATTTTTGAGAAAAATCCAGAAATTTATCAAGTACTTTCAGAAATTAAAGTTAGGGAGTGGTAGCAAGAGTATGGATTTGAAGCCTATTATGTTGATGCTAAATCAAGCTATCACAAAGGTACTCGGATAAGTAGAAAAAAGCATGCAAATGGAGTGATAGCAGTAACACCTTCTTGAGCAGTCATAATAATCGTCGCTGACATGTTTCTCTTGCACAAAAAATCCGCGTTTGCTTAAAAAAAGGTATAGTGAATAAACGCCGAAAATGCAGATGGGAAGCGGGAAGCATGCGCTTCTTACAATCTTCATTCAAAGAAGCATCAATGACAAATTGCGAATGCACATGTTATGGCTATGACAATGCCAACCAAGGCATAGTTAAGATGAGCATTTCAGAAAAACAACATACGAGGGATTTCTTCTCATTCTTGTAGAACGGATTCCAACCAAGACTCATCACCATCTTGTACACTTCTCCATCACCAACTTGAGCCCAACCGGCGTAGACACCGGGGGACATTGATGAAGGCAAGTCCTCGATGACACTGTCATCCAAATTTGCTAGTTTGTTCTACCATTAAAGCAAGTTATGAAGTACCTGTGGGAATGCCCAACTCTCGAGCACCGCGACCGAAGCCCAAAACAACAGTTCCAGACGTTTTGAAAATGCACCTGTCGTCAGTCATGGTGCTTAACTTCGTGCAATCAAGAAATGGAAAAGGCGGTGGGGGTGGCCATTTGGATCAATTTATACGGGTAAAGTGGACCCAGCCCAATTTATCTGCTAACCAATCAGATACTAGGCCCACCATTACTCTGCAGGTAAGTGGTTAAAACCTAACGTGAGGAATTATTAACAACGTGGCCTAGTATAATTGACCAAATTTTTGCATGATTTTAATTAAGTTTTCGAATTCTAAATTTGACAAGGAAAAAAACTAAAAAATACACTTTACAAGGTTCAAATATCGGTCTTAGCGTTCATTCGACATAACAAAACCTTCATCTCGTAGAATTTTTATTCTGATTTTAATACTAACTTAGTCTGCGTTTTTATTTTTATATTTTGGCGTCACTTGAATCCCCAGCAATGTTTTACCTTGTGACTGTATCATAAAAGTCAAAAAACAAATTTTGTTGAATTGAATGTAGCTAGAATGTTGTTACCGCCATTTCTAACTTTTGCTTTGACGTGGCAAAATTAGCGCTCTATTTCCATGTTTTGGCCTGCTCGTTCCGTTTTTGAGTGCCCCAATTGTCAGCGTCGAATGCGACACTGATGGGTGGCTAAGCAGTTTCCAAATAAATTGATTTAATACTAGTTGAAAACTGTCTATCAGTATATCTGAATTCCAGCAATTAAGAATCTAGAGGGTTGTGCGACGAAGAAACAGATCTAGATTTTATTCCGTATTTCGGTACTGAACAATGTGTCAAGTCGGAAGTAGAACTTATTTTTACAACACGGTTACCGCCTACAATTCGTCCCCTATAATGACAAGAACAAAGCAAAAGTGCCCCTTTTTTGCTGTTCGTAATCTGCGCAGTAGCTGCAAAATCGCGGAGAATCAATCGTATTAGGTTTTGCACTTGTAAACTTAAGCATTGATCCTTGTCTTACATATAAGTCTGGTGAAAAATAGGTCCACTCTAGTTGTTATCAAAGGAACTTTCGTTACTTTAATTGACACCAAATGTTAAACATCAGTTATGTATTCTTGAGACCTCATACACTTCTGGTGTGAATGTTGTTGGCATGAACACTTTTTCCACATTAAAATAAAATCAAATTCTTTCGTAAACGGGACATCTTAGATGCTCAAATTTCATCCAACACATTGATCATGAATTCAATAGGATTTCCCGGTCTCCCAACAAGCAGTCTTTCAACGAGTTTCTAGTAAGAAGAATTATAATGCTTTTCTTAAAGTCATTACTTCAAAAATGCTTTCAATTCCATGTTTCGCGAGGTATTCATCCGCTTTGCTCCTAGGATTATTTGGAGCGAAAGTATAAACAACATCTTTTTCTTCCTTCTCCATGATTAGTCCAGCGGAAATGATCCTTTCAAGTGACACAGGCTAGGGGTAGGCATAAGTGGTTCCTAGGATGAGAGACTGTGTTGTCTCAGCAATGTCCTATGACGCGCTTGTGCAATGTTCGCATCTATGGTAACGCAGAGAGTTGGCGTTGCATCCTATGGGAGATCTTCATAACTGGGGGAGGGATTACAATACGTCGGTTGTTTGTTTAACTCTCGGTTTTGGGGAAAGGGACCACTTAGGCGCTCCGCCCGCCATCGTACTTTCGCTGGGCGGACTGGCCTCCAGGCCATGCCAATAGCCCCACTGCCTTCTGTACGGCGACAATGCATATTTTTTCCGAGTACTGTGTCTTATCTCCTCTTCAGGAAGCTCTCGGGGGCGCTGTCAGAACGAATCGCCAGTGAGGATGTTTTTGTGACAAAAAACTGGTAATAAGCAGGACTTGGAACACCTCAAGAACAGGAGGAGGCATATAAAAATCTACTTTTGGGACTGGAAGCGTTTTCAAACTTAAGTAGTCTCTATCTGATGTCTTGCGAAATACTTTCATTATACAAAATCACTCGAAATGGAGGTCATAGTCATTGGCAGTAGCGAAAACATGGGAACAAAATCTAGGGCTGAAAGTTAGATTTCCCGATATTCATAGGTTCTACAAGACTTAATTACAACCCCCTCAATGCTGGTTTTTGCAGTATTCAGCAAATTTACTCATTCCAAGGTACTCGTAGAATTGTAATGTGCCGTTGCCCAAACTGCTTTGCAATGATGGTTGCGCTCCTCGACTTCCCTGAAGGCGAAAGAAGACACAGTACTCGGGCAGAATATGTATTGCCGACGTGCTGAAACGCTGGAGGTTCTACTGCCACGATCGTCAAGCGGTGGTATACAATTGTGGAGGCCCTAGTTAACCCGTTACACTGATAACGTACAAGGAGTGTAGATGGAATTGCCACTGTTGAGTAAGGAGTCACGTAACACTCAACATAATTTAAACAATGAAAGCTCCTTTATGTATGCTCTGCCTTCCCTTCACCGAGGTCATGGAAACTCATCAGCAACGACCATCACAGCTATATTTTCTTGGGTTGAAATCAGGTGTTAGACGAGATGAAGACTCTGCAATGACTTTAATTGCAGTGAAAACCCGATGACTCCGGGGATTGATTTACAGTTTGATGGCATGTAACTGTCATGCCAAACCGTTTAGATGCAAGTGCACTTGGAAGCATGGGTGAGCATCACACTTTTTTGCTAGGGATGGAGGATCTCGGACATAACCCGACATCCGCCCAGTCATGGTTGGAGACTCTGTAATTGGCTTTGGTAAATGCTTATAGAGCAGTGGAACAGATATTATCAGAGCTCTATGCCATCGTCGTAAAATAGACTCTCGAATGACGGCATACACATTCACATTCACTTTTCCACGATCATTCGATTAAACTGCTCGCGTGGGACGTCTGCAACTCCATAAATAGTCGTTGTCTCAGTTCCCAAGAAGTAGCGTTTTCATTTCGAATATTCGGACATTCTAGGACACCTCCGAAATTGCGCTCTCGCTCTCTTCCCCTCGAATGACTAATGTCACCTTCAAAATGGTCATTTTTACTGTTTTCATCATCACTATGAGACCAAGGCCGATCAAAATAGTGCAGTGGAATCACTGCGTATCTGTGGTAATCCGGAAGGACAAAAAAGCACCTATTTCGTGCTCTCAACTCGACTCGTCGCCACTTAAGGACTTTCCTGTTGTGGCATGATTGCGCATGATTGTTTTACGCCTACTTTTTCATTTTGTACTATTATTGTCACCTTGGAAACCAAAAATGACAATGAAGTGGCTTCTCTCAGGCTTGACAATTTAGAAGGTGAAAATGACTAAATGGCGTCAGCCCTTGGTAGTTTGGATAATTCCTGCCAGATATAATGCAGTCCGTGCTACTGTAAGCGCTATTGAGACGGAAGAGGGGATCATTTCTAGCTCTCTCCTTACTAATCGAAAAGAAGACCCTCAAAAATCCACGTTTAATTAATACCCAATTCCTGTATTCTTTACTCTTTTTGGATCTCAAGTAAATGGGCTATATGATTGACGTATTCAGCAATAAAGCTTAGGTCCACTGTTCACTTGAACCAGTGCAGCGTCTACTCTTAAGGCCATCAGTAACAGAGTGACCTTAAGGGTGAGGTCATGGAGGATGCTTAGATTGCAAGAAAGCCGATTGGAGGAGTGATGCAAGTAAACCGAAGAAGGCAGAGGCCTAGACGAGGGAATGAGCGAGAGTGAAATTACTGGGAAAATAGGAATTCCTTCATTACTGAGTTAATACTGCGTTCTCATATAATATTACTGCCAACACTTGCATGGTAGCTATGTAAAGCGCGTAAAGTTAAGAAGCTCTACCCTTCGTAAAACCATTTTAAAAAGCGAGAATCGGGAATGAGTTCTACAGACACTGATTTTCTCTCGATCGCTCACAGGTCTTTCAGTCAAAATACCCTTGCAGATCCTAAAAATTACGTAAGTATTCTGTGACAGAAAATTAAGAATAGCAGAGCTTAAAATATTAACTTTACCAAGGCCATGTTCTAGCTTCTTCAAATGGGAACGAATATGTTCTGTGACGTCCTTGGCAGAGGAGGTTTCGCGTAATTTTTCTCTTAGCCACTAATCGAGTTTGGTGTCAGGCTTGAATGGATGTGGCTACTGTTGCTATGATACAACCTGGCATTTAAAGAGTTTGAGTACAATTTTTTTGACCTGTTTCCTGGAACATATTATAAATTTGAAACCGTGAAAATTTTAAATTAATTTTAATTAATTTTAAATTATTCCACACTCAAAAAAAGGATTATATAAAATTTGGCGTTTGTCAGTAAAATAAAACAAGGGGTATGGGACTGTGATGACGACCCGTTGACATAAATGTTGCGGGCGTTACCTGGTATTTGTATGCCCGACATCGGATTCTGTTGACTTTTCGACCCTGGTAAGCAGCCTACAACAGCGGAGTCTTCATCTGCCAACACGTGTGAGTAAGCTGAGAATTTGGGTGCCTGAAAATGCGGCTGCCGGCTGATAACCAGAGGCATAGGACCTTAAGTTTCGCAATTTTGTGATATTTTGGTTGTATTCTCTTGGTCTATAATGGCTATGAGGATATTTAAAGTCTCCTTGTTCGAAATACTGGCAGATCAGGTCATCCAAACGAGAGTGGGTTTTGGGGTGCTCTATTGTGTTTGGCAATTGAAGAAGAGAAAGGAAATTTCCGAAAAATCGCGATAGGAACGTTTTCTGAATTTGTGGACATCTCTACCGGTTATGCAGCTACATTAATATAATGACTAGACTCACGGAGACAAATGTGCTACCTAAACATGCATCTATTTGGCAGATGAGGTTATTCTTCTTACTTCTATTCGGCTCCGCTCCATCACGTTTTGGTGCTGACTTCAAGGAATTACAAAAAAGCTTGAAGGAATTTTTATGAAGGTTAAACCGTTTTTAATCATCAGCACATCTCGCCAATTTCAATGGTTCAAAATTACCATCTTATCGAATTGCACTGAGGGGTGCTTGCGATTTCTTTACTCTTCTAGGCTGACCTATGCCCTACGGCAAGTTCAGTCCCTATTTA